GCAAAAAGAAAAGCACCAGTGAACTCAGCACGTCAAGGCGCGTCGAATGTAATACTTTTTAGCCTGCTTTAGTGTACTTAAAGTTTTTCTTAAATTTTAAGTAAACTTAAATTAATAAATTAAGTTCAAGTTAACCAAATTGCATCATATCGCATATCATTCGATTCGGCTGATCACTAGGAACACAATGATACCATTTTTAAGCTCTAGCGTCATTATGTGCCAAGTTATTGGCAAAAACGTTATTTGACCTCAGTTGACCTCATTTGACCTGACCCATGGATAAGTACACCAAACAAAGAAGCACCAAGTGACCTGCTGTTAAGTACTATGGTTTCAAAGCACAAAAGTGATAGAACGAAGCGGATATCTCCAGTATTTTCCGAATTTAGTATTTTCCCATAGGCTTAACATTACGACGTAATGACCTCTAACTGACCTCAGGTCAGTGACCTCAAAAAACCCGAACCATATGCTATACAACTCGGTGAACTTAGCATATCCTGAAAGTTTGAAGGAACTCAGTCCAAAACTGTGAGTTGGACAGGTGCAAAAAGAAAATTGAAATTTGACCATGACCTTGTACCGGTTTTTCTGACCTGGTGACCTGACCCAAGGTCACCCGGGCCTGAAATTTTAAGGTCATATGTAAAAAGGTTGCCCCATAGGCTGTGCCAAATTTGGCGGCGCTGCGCGCCGCCGTTTTTACGCTATCTTCGAAAAACCTTAGGGGGGGTCGCATCGACCCCCCCCCCTGCCAGGGCGAGGGTTAAGAGATAGGGACTACGCTGGTCCCACCCTGCAAGTAAAGGGAAGAAATTTCTTGAACACTATAAAGCTGCGGGGGTTGCGACCAGGATAAATGGTGGTTTCTGAGCCTGGCCGCAAACTTGGCTATCTCAACTCAAAACTAATGTTAAGGTGGGAGGGTCCCTTTAAAAAAACAATTACCGTTATCGTTTTGTCGTTTTATCGCTATCGCTGTTAATTTTTTGCAAATTTTTATCGTTTAGGTATCGTTTATCGTTATCGCAAACCTTACTTATCGTTTTATCGTTATCGCAGGTCCGAAAATTAGTTATCGCGGAAAGCACTGTTATACAATTAGGCGTTTATTCGGATATAATCTTTATGACTTGTGCAAATACGCAGTCATTAAAGACGTTAAGAATAGAAAAAGGTGCTCATTCGGCGCGGTTTTTCTTCTGTATTTACTTATCATATACCTACTGCTTTACGCGGTCAGCCGCACTCGTTACTCCACCAAGACTGACACGGAGAAGCGACACGAACTATTTTGAATTGGTATTTGGTTGGTCCGTGTAGACTGTAGACGATACGGTGCAGTGGCGAGTGCGAGTGCGAGGTTCCATCGGCTGAAACCACCTCCGTGGTCCTCTCGAGGTTGTTTCGGTAGCCGCTATTAGCCGCGACGAGCAAATGTGCGACATGTGTTTTACATTTAGTTGTTGCGCTTCACAGTTTACGGTGATGGCCGATGGGGTGTCAAGCCACGTTAAATTTATCTTTATCTTTTGTTTCTTAAAAACTTGGCAGGCACGCTGCTCACGAGATTTTTCGAAACGTGAGGAGCGCAAGGTCCATCCGAATGGATGGTGAGGACGAGGATATCCGTAACGACCATGTTGTAAAATGTAGGGGAAGCCGGGGGAAGCCCGTCATAGTAAGCTCTTTTTCATTTTTATTACATACCATACGTGCTGTATAAAATGTTGATATCCTGCTAGCTAGCTAAGTTCATTGGCCGTGTTTTCCCAAAAATTCGGTTTCGTGGAATAAGTATAAGGTTGAGAAAATCGAGTTTTAAAAAAGTGTTGATTTTTCTGGGGTAAGCCCGGCATAGGGGTAACGCCGGCCACCTCCCTAGCGCTTTACAACGAGTTGACGAAACCATTATGTGTTTTCCAAATATTAACGGAAAGTGAAATATTAAGGTACTGATTAGCTCTGGACATCTTAGAGTTAATGTCACTACTGGTATTTTAGCTAGCGTCTACTACATATACAATACAGGGCCCAATCTCACCAAGTGCGGTTAACTCATTTTGCGGTAAACTACCCCAAAACGAATCTCACCACTGCCGTAATTTTTGAAGTTACCGCATCGAAATAACCCCATGGGATAGCTTCGGTTTTACCGCAAATTCTTCATGTGCGCAGCTGCTCACGGCCCGAAAGCAAGTAAACAAACCAAACAATCAGCTGATTGCCCCCAAATGTCGGACCAAAATTACCGCAGACATTTGTGCCGTAATCTCTAAATTTTATACCAATTGTGAGCAAGAATCAAGAATTAAAGATGTAATAAGAACTTTATAAGAAACACAAGAAATAAGTTTCTTTTTTAAGATTATTTTTTGTTGCAGCCTGCGCCACCTATGCTTCCTATTTGCAGTACCCAAAACAGCATGTAGATGTCGCCCGTGAGTCTTGGAAACTGAGGTGCCGCTTTGAAAGAAGAAACACGCTATCGTTGCCATGGCGACAAAACAATTGCGTTCTTTATATCGCGCCGGCGTGATCAGCAGCTTTTCCACCAATCCGAAGCGTCGACAAATGGGGTTCTTTTGCAGGATTTGCACAAAATGCGGTAAATTACAGCATGGGGTCGTTTGGGTTGGTGAGACTGGATTATTTGCTTGGGGTTATTTCGGTGCGGTAACTTACCGCTACCCCAAACGAGTTTACCCCACTTGGTGAGATTGGGCCCATGTCGATGAAAATCGTGATGCAAAATTGACAAAAAATGTGTATTTCAAAATTCCTTAAAATTTCTTTTTCTTTTTACCTTAATGCATCATATTGCATATCATTCGACCCGGCTGATGAAGAAGAACACAACGACACCATTTTTGAAGCTCTAGCTTCATTGTCTGTCGCGTTATCTGCAAAAACGTAGTTTGACCCTAGTTGACCTTAAGTGACATGACTGGCTTTGTCTATGATAACATGTTTATTTTCGAAATTTATCTTTGATCTAGGTGTAAACCAAACCTGCTCAGTACCTATTATCTCATGGAAAACAGTGGTTTAGTGGCATTGCTCTCGGTTGGGGGTAAGCTTGGCCACTCGCCCGGGGTTACCCCAATGTGCTAATTTTTATTTTAGAACAGCGATATTCGAAAAAATGTCATACTTAAGCCAGCCTGCCTCGTCACCCCTCACTACAAACACTTAAACGGTCCTTACATAACATTCGTATAAAAATTAGTACTGTATGGTATAACATTAACAGTGCAATATATCTCACTTTTTAGCTAAAAACCCTTAAAATATCATTTTTGCGCTATAACTTTAACAATATGCAATTTTTGTCAGCCTTAACTTGTTTGCTGGCGTTACCTTAGCTGCCACGCTGAAAGGACAAACAGTTGAGCATTTTATTGTGAATAATTTAGCCGGAAACGGGGTGGCCGGGCTTCCCCCGCGCCCGGGCTTCCCCCGGCTTCCCCTACACCTAAGAAAAATAAATGCGAAAGGCGAAAGTCGGAGCGCTCCAATAAGTTTCAGCCCGACAGTACTTTCGGCTATAAACGTTTCGGGAGAGGGCCACCTGCTATACGATTTCGTCAGACGTTACATCTTGCACTTTACAAAAAAGGACATTATTCTTGTCTACCTTTCAGCTCCCCGTGGTCAAAATCCTTACAGATACCCTGGTGTGAAGCCTCGTCATTATCAAAATTCCAACAATGAGTCGCATTTTAGCTCAGCTTCCGTCACAAAGGCTGCGTGCCGGGACCGGCCGTATCAATATCTTCGCATGGCGTGGCAAAAGACGGAATAGCCCGTCCAGAAAGACCGGTAGCAGGGCCGGTCACGGTCGGTTTTCCGCGGCGTACGCCAGCGGACAGCGGATGTGCTGTCCGCGGACAGTGCCCGTGTCCTGTGTCCACCGGCAGCAGGCCGGCGCACCTGTGGCGAGCGCCACGCGACACGGCTCCTCGGCACCGCAACACGGACAATTTTACCGCAGCTGAGCGCGAAATGAGCGAGAGTCGCGACGCTCCGGTTAGTTGGAATTAGCCGGTGAAATGGCGAGCTACCAGGAGCCGACCAGAATAGTGGACGGTTCAGAGAACTGTGGATGATGACTCGACGTGCTGAATGAGGTGTGCACTGTGCAATGTGCACCGGAAAGACGATGTATTCTGTTGCCATGGTGGATTGTGACCAAAAAAAAGTCTGTGTCGTATGACAGCAACGAGCTACATTATATTGTTGTTGCTCGTTGATGTCATATGCGTAGCGATCATGTATGTGTTCCTTTTCTTGAGATGAGGTCACTCTACGTACCCGGCTGTCATGCTCACGCAAATGAATTTCGATTGCCATCAACCAGAGTTGGCTGGTTCCCCGCCCGTCTCCCAGGGCTCCTACAGGTGTTCCCCAACGCTGCGATCGGAACCACTCGTTCAGTACTATACATCCGATGATGAACCGATAAAGGATCTAGCCCGGGTCTACATCGGAAATGGCTGGGCGCGTGGGTGAGGAAATGGTGGAGCTACAGGCCGACGGGGGCGACGGCCGTCACCAGCCGGCGATCCGGCTGACACGGCCTGTCACACGACTGACCCACAAAGGTGACGGGCTGTCATCAGCGACCCTCGGTCCATGTCTATAAGCGGCTGACTAAAATGTCGGTATCGGTTTGATTCTAACTAGCCATTTATGTATTTGTCATTCATTTCTGTTTTGTCTATCCCGGCCTTCTTTTCAGCTGTTAATATTACAATGAAACTTGACTTGACCACTGGCAAACCGTTCACTGGCCGTCTGGCTCCTATGATTACCTTCGCAAGTTCGTAAGTCTAACTTTCCAAGCATCAACACTTGAAGACGCACATACGATCAGCGGCAGCCAGCTGACCAAACATCCTTCTCAATCCAACCCCATAACCCGAGATTGTGGAATGTATCATCACGGCGCAATAAACGGAACAAACGCGGGTTACAACGCAAATACAAAATAACAATTATTTCCAAAATTGTATTTTAGCTCTTAGCCGATACACGACAGACGCCGTTCAATGTGCGTGCGATAAGGCATGTGTGACACACCACCGCGCACGGAAAGCCCCAACCCCTGGACATCATGCGTGACACCGTTTCACGACATTCGACCAACGGTAGTCTTCTAACAAGCCGGCATCTTTACTCGCCCATTCCCCTTTTCAGCCAGATTCGCAGTCACTCGCTCAGGCTCTGGCGATGCCATGCGATTGCAGCGCCATCCCACGTCAAGGCACGACCGACGGGTCTCTACAGACCGCCCAGAGTCCCGCCCTCTGGATGCAACACACGAACCGATAGTGACGAGAATTTCGGTGACGTAGTGACGCAGCAGACTACCAAACTAGCCAACAATAGTGTAAATTCATATATAAAAACAACCTACATCCGCCGAACGGTGTTACATTAAGTAGATCCATTATGTTTGCAATTCGAACCGCATCCGTATAAGCCTACAGATCAGTCTTACCCTATTATATCTGAAAAAAAAAATAGAGTACGCTCCTAAGAGCGCTTAGCTACCTGGTGACACACCAGAAATTTCGGAACATGAACCATCATAGCTCCGTCTCCAGCCTAACAAGCAAAGAGCTCCGTGGCAAGCTCCCATCACAATCGACAGCACGATTGCAGCACAGAGGTGCTAGAACGAAGGGTTGTCGCTAAACAATCACAATTCGGTCCGTTTCACACGTTCTCCAGATACAAACAGGTGGACATTTTCTCACTAATATCGCACAGTGACGAACACAGCGTGCGTTGTATAAAAGATGAAATGGACGGTCAGAAATACCACCACCGTAGGCAACAAGAAAGGCAAGCTCTCGGCCCTCCCGTAGGAAGACAATGGATATCGTCAAAGTTGAAGCACTAGGAGTAGCCCAAAAGCCCGGTCACCCAACGATAACGCTCACTATCAATTCACTACTGGTTGGAATAGTGTAAATATGATATCAATAACAACTAGATCTGGGATACAATCTCGTTCCGTCAGATCGACGTATCACATACGTTTGCAGCTTATTGCTGTGTGTCAGTCTGTGTAGCCAGAGAGACGCTCTTCGCAATCACAGGTTATACATACCATCCACCAGAAAATCCATCTTGCGGTAGTGACGCCGGTACCAGGTCTCGCGCACTCTCCGGAACACGAAGAACCCGATAAAGGCCAGCAGTATCACCAGGACCACCACGCCGGCCACGGCCGAGCCGCCCACCCCGCTGCCGCTGTCTGGGCCGCTGTCAGAGGCGTCCTTCGCCTCGGTGGGCTTCGGTTTGAGCTCCGGCGACTCCGTCTGAGACGGCTGATCGCTGGACCCGAAGCTCTTCACCGGTGAGGACGAGTTCAGAGTATTCTCGGCGAAGAATCCCCCTCCACCGGAGGACGATGAAATGCTCCCCGTCACTGGAGTACCCTCCGTGACCGACAGGCCGCCAGAGAACGCTGGCGGCGGCGGCGGAGGGGGCGGCGGAGGCAGTGTGGCGGCCGGCGCGTCCGGAGGCGGAGCGCCCTTCCGCGGCTTGGACGGGTTGTCGAGCATCTCTGGGTCGGGGACGCCGGTGCGTGCCTTGCTCGGCTTGGTCTCGGACGGGGCCAGACCGGGATCGGGGCGGTGCCGGCTCAGGGTCGGATGATTGCCCGGCGGCAGCGCCACGCCACTCACCAGCCGTACCGGCAACTCGGGCGTGGTGGGCACCGAAGCCGGCTCCGTGGCCGGGGTCGTTACAGCCGCCGCTGTGGAAGACGACACGGTAGAGGCAGGCGTAGACGACGTCACGGCGGCGACTGTGGGCGGCAATGTAGTCGGTTCGTCTTCTTCCGCCGCTACGGTCGTTGGAACCACGTCTGCTGAAGCTACTGTGGTAGAGTCGGCAGAGTCTCCGCTCGTTCCGTCCTCCGCCATCACTGGGGTCGTCTCGGCGTTGTCCGCCGCCGGCTCCGTGGTGTCACTGCTCGGACGGGCAGTGGTGCTGGCGGTAGAGCTGGTGGTGGTGCTGGTGCCAGTGGTGGTGATAGCAGGAGTTACCGTGGTGGTCGCCGAGCTGGCCACGATAGCAGAGGCGGCGGTGGTGTAGTCTTCTGAGCTTTCCGTCACCACCTGCACATCGCTGCCGCCCTCCCGGCCGCCAGGAGCCGCCGGTTCGTCAGGTGCGTCCGTCGGCGGCAGGGTGACGGTGTCGACAGCGGTGGCCGGCGAGCTGTCGCTGACGGCGAGCGGCCGGTCAAAGCGGCTGGGCTCGCCGGCCCGGGCCGCCGGCACGGAGCCCGCCGCCGCACACACCAGCAGAGCGAGCAGCAGCATCGGTGAAGTCCGTCTGATGGCGCCACCTGCGGCACTGAGCGCAATACACGTCAGTACGGTGCACTGCATATACCTGACTCCAAGTATCACTTAAAAGCACAGAAAATACCACAAAAAGAAACCTAATATCACATTCATAAACCAAGCACAAATTGGCAAAATATCACAGCAAATGGATAATTTGATGAAAGTTGCCACACTCCAAACACTGGACAAGATAACGTCATGGTGCTGAAATCCATCACTGTATGAGGCCATCACAACTTACATCACACTGGAAACACTAATGCAGAGTGAGATCATCACAAATCACACCACAATGAAAACACTATCACATTGTGAGTGCCAAAACTCACAACCTATAAGGTCAGGTCAAGGTGGTGAGCCTGTAAAGCTATGTAACAAGCTGAACTAAGCAGAGGCAGACCATAGCTGATAACCATCTGTTCAACCATTTACACTCAATTTCCTAAAAAGAGTGCAAATACTGAAACCAAGGGAAGGGAAGAGGGTGACATCACATTCCGACATTCATTCATCACATTTGTATGGACACCTGACATCAGTTGGGGAAACTACGAGGCGAACATAAAAAATTGATTGGTAATAAATGGACTTTGGATGACCATATCAATATATGGGCATAAATGCAGCCCCCACTACTAAGGGTGAAAAACGGTATAACAAGCCGGTACTTGTGGTATCGCGTCCACTTATCTGAGAGAAAAGGCTTCCATTTTCCACTACGAATTAGCGTGATTTGATTAAATTCGGCGAATTGACTCGAAAAATGGTGATAGGAAAACGGCTTTTCTGCAGGTTCTGGGCGTCACAATCACCTGGCCATTCAATAAATGGATTGGTGTTTTGAAATACAATTGTTAAAAGATTTGCTTTAATTACAATAACCTAGGCCCTGTTTCACCGGTGATAGCAGCACGCTACTATCAAATTGCGCGAGCTGACGTAATGTGATGAGGTCACACTAATGACGTTTCGTGTAATCCGTGAGCTGCATTTGGAACAGAGTTGCTGTCTCGTTGGATTGCGTTTGATACATTTGTTTGATCGCACAGCCGTGAAGATGTTAGCAGCAGTATTTGATGACATCACACAGATTGACGGCGCCATGGTTTGTTGATGTTTCCATGGAAACCCAATTTGACACGTGTGATAGCAGCGTGCTGCTATCACCGGTGAAACAGGGCCCTACAAACCTACCCTACAACCTACCTACAAACCTACAGCGCCTCTCCTCAGTTGGGAAACCTTCGTGTGACGTCTGTTCTACTAATGCCCAAAATTGAAATCAAATACTATGAAAATAAGCAGCTTACCCCTTACAATGACTGAAACAATAAAGATCGTAGGTACCTACCGTCCAAGGCTATATAAACCGTCCAACAACATACGGCAATGACAACTCGGCCCCCGCCGAAGTTAGTTGGTAGCACTGCTGCTCCACGGCGTACATTTCATGATTTCCTACCAGCCCATAGGGTTTACATGTTAAATGGCCTGTTTTCGGCGAGCGATATCTCGGTCAACCTTTGAAGGAATCAATGGTTCTTAGTCTCAAATGATAGATCGATGAATTTTCTTTCGACAATTCCTCTACCATTTTTCACGAAACCCAGCCGATCTTCTACGGCGTACAGGGTAAAGATTTCTCTGCACGCCAGCACCCGCGATCCGTCTCTCCGACCGTCGGCGCGCGGTCCTCGGTAGCGCAGTCGGTAGCGTGTCGGGCTACAGATCCGAGGGTCGTGAGTTCGGATCCTGGCAGCGCCGCGTGATTTTGCCTAGAATTGAATGATGTAGATTCTTGAATGTTTGCATTATCAATTATTAATAGCTAATTGAATGTATCTGACCACTAATCGGCCCCTAAAACCTGTTATTTAAGAAATTTAAGAAATGAATGTCACGTGCGCGTCATGACTGCCAACCATAAGCGCTACCATATTCTAGTTTCAACTAACTTTTTGCTAGTCCCGACCACATATAGCAGGTTTTCTAGTAGTTATACTAGAAATTCCTACCAAAGTTCGTCCTACCCTTCACTCAATATACCCTGATGACAACGGCCTTAAAACAAAAAATGAGTCAAGGCAGAAAGTGTAGTTTTTCCTCAGCAATTGCGTAATGTGCGATTTCCGGACCTAAGGAACGGAAAAATTTGTGGATTTTATATGACGTAAAAGGTACAATATGACGCCAATGAATGGGTGGAGTGTGGATATTTAAAATAAGAGCAAAGCTATTTCAGGTGGTAAAACAACTGTAACTGTCTAAAAAACACTATCTTCATAATCCTCATCAATTTTCTCGCTTTGGGTGGGACACAAATAAATCCAGGAAAACTTGTGCATAATACTGGTGACGTCACTTCAATGAAGTATTAGAGGAGGTGCGTCTAGCGATATTTATATACAATAGGAACATATTGAACTTCGACAAACTCTGACGCAGTTTGCAGGGTTTGCAGTGGAGGTTCGGCAAAAAAGGCACACGTGGTGGTTTGGGTTGTGTGTTTGGGTTTGAATGCATTTCATTTCTGTAAGTATTTGTATTGCTTGTCAGCTGATGGTATTCCATGTAATTGAACGGTGAACCAATCACTATTTTGTCCCGAACCAATGACTATTATATTTATGAGTCATCATGTTTTCTGGGAAGTTGCAGCCTAAGGGCGATACTTCAGTTTTTTACATTGAAGTAGCACAATTTTGATGATGTTTCACTGTTTCTCCTTGGTCAATTACATAAAAAACAGCTTCAAAACACTTTGATTCGCAACATTTACCGAAATATAATACGTCCATCAATTGAGCAGCAGTTTGATATTCGCGAATATCAAACTAAAAATTCGATATTCGGACGGGGAACGCAATAACTCAAGAACCAGTGAACCGATTTTGATGAAAAGACAATCATTCGATTCCTCGTTCCTCATTGCAGGTTGACAGCGATTTTCAGGTCACTAGGTCATGACCTTCAAGGTCAAGGTCAAGGTCAAAGGACGGGGAACGCTCTACAGCCTAAAGTTACCGTCCGATTGGCTTGTAAATGGTCTCAATCGATTCCCTGACCCCGATTCCAGGTTGACAGCGATTTCCAGGTCACTAGGTCATGACCTTCAAGGTCAAGGTCAAGGTCAAAGGACGGGGAACGCTCTACAGCCTAAAGTTACCGTCCGATTGGCTTGTAAATGGTCTCAATCGATTCCTTGACCCCGATTCCAGGTTGACAGCGATTTCCAGGTCACTAGGTCATGACCTTCAAGGTTAAGGTCAAGGTCAAAGGACGGGGAACGCTCTACAGCCTAAAGTTATAGTCCGATTGGCTTGTAAATGGTCTCAATCGATTCCTTGACCCCGATCCCAGGTTGACAGCGATTTTCAGGTCACTAGGTCATGACCTTCAAGGTCAAGGTCAAGGTCAAAGGACGGGGAACGCTCTACAGCCTAAAGTTACCGTCCGATTGGCTTGTAAATGGTCTCAATCGATTCCCTGACCCCGATTCCAGGTTGACAGCGATTTCCAGGTCACTAGGTCATGACCTTCAAGGTCAGGGTCAAGGTCAAAGGACGGGGAACGCTCTACAGCCTAAAGTTACCGTCCGATTGGCTTGTAAATGGTCTCAATCGATTCCTTGACCCCGATTCCAGGTTGACAGCGATTTCCAGGTCACTAGGTCATGACCTTCAAGGTCAAGGTCAAGGTCAAATGACGGGGAACGCTCTACAGCCTAAAGTTACCGTCCGATTGGCTTGTAAATGGTCTCAATCGATTCCTTGACCCCGATTCCAGGTTGACAGCGATTTCCAGGTCACTAGGTCATGACCTTCAAGGTCAAGGTCAAGGTTCGCGAATATCAAACTAAAAATTCGATATTCGGACGGGGAACGCAATAACTCAAGAACCAGTGAACCGATTTTGATGAAAAGACCCTCATTCGATTCCTCGTTCCTTATTGCAGGTTGACAGCGATTTCCAGGTCACTAGGTCATGACCTTCATGGTCAAGGTCAAGGTCAAAGGACGGGGAACGCTCTACAGCCTAAAGTTACCGTCCGATTGGCTTGTAAATGGTCTCAATCGATTCCTTGACCCCGATCCCAGGTTGACAGCGATTTTCAGGTCACTAGGTCATGACCTTCAAGGTCAAGGTCAAGGTCAAAGGACGGGGAACGCTCTACAGCCTAAAGTTACCGTCCGATTGGCTTGTAAATGGTCTCAATCGATTCCTTGACCCCGATTCCAGGTTGACAGCGATTTCCAGGTCACTAGGTCATGACCTTCAAGGTCAAGGTCAAGGTCAAAGGACGGGGAACGCTCTACAGCCTAAAGTTACCGTCCGATTGGCTTGTAAATGGTCTCAATCGATTCCTTGACCCCGATTCCAGGCTGACAGCGATTTTCAGGTCACTAGGTCATGACCTTCAAGGTCAAGGTCAAGGTCAAAGGACGGGGAACGCTCTACAGCCTAAAGTTACCGTCCGATTGGCTTGTAAATGGTCTCAATCGATTCCTTGACCCCGATTCCAGGTTGACAGTCATTTTCAGGTCACTAGGTCATGACCTTCAAGGTCAAGGTCAAGGTTCGCGAATATCAAACTAAAAATTCGATATTCGGACGGGGAACGCAATAACTCAAGAACCACTGAACCGATTTTGATGAAAAGACCCTCATTCGATTCCTCGTTCCTTATTGCAGGTTGACAGCGATTTCCAGGTCACTAGGTCATGACCTTCATGGTCAAGGTCAAGGTCAAAGGACGGGGAACGCTCTACAGCCTAAAGTTACCGTCCGATTGGCTTGTAAATGGTCTCAATCAATTCCTTGACCCCAATTCCAGGTTGACAGCGATTTCCAGGTCACTAGGTCATGACCTTCAAGGTCAAGGTCAAGGTCAAAGGACGGGGAACGCTCTACAGCCTAAAGTTACCGTCCGATTGGCTTGTAAATGGTCTCAATCGATTCCTTGACCCCGATTCCAGGTTGACAGCGATTTCCAGGTCACTAGGTCATGACCTTCAAGGTCAAGGTCAAGGTCAAAGGACGGGGAACGCTCTACAGCCTAAAGTTACCGTCCGATTGGCTTGTAAATGGTCTCAATCGATTCCTTGACCCCGATACCAGGTTGACAGCGATTTCCAGGTCACTAGGTCATGACCTTCAAGGTCAAGGTCAAGGTCAAAGGACGGGTAACGCTCTACAGCCTAAAGTTACCGTCCGATTCGCTTGTAAATGGTCTCAATCGATTCCTTGACCCCGATTCCAGGTTGACAGCGATTTTCAGGTCACTAGGTCATGATCTTCAAGGTCAAGGTCAAGGTCAAAGGACGGGGAACGCTCTACAGCCTAAAGTTACCGTCCGATTGGCTTGTAAATGGTCTCAATCGATTCCTTGACCCCGATTCCTGGTTGACAGCGATTTCCAGGTCACTAGGTCATGACCTTCAAGGTCAAGGTCAAGGTTCGCGAATATCAAACTAAAAATTCGATATTCGGACGGGGAACGCAATAACTCAAGAACCAGTGAACCGATTTTGATGAAAAGACCCTCATTCGATTCCTCGTTCCTTATTGCAGGTTGACAGCGATTTCCAGGTCACTAGGTCATGACCTTCAAGGTCAAGGTCAAGGTCAAAGGACGGGGAACGCTCTACAGCCTAAAGTTACCGTCCGATTAGCTTGTAAGTGGTCTCAATCGATTCCTTGACCCCGATTCAAGGTTGACAGCGATTTCCAGGTCACTAGGTCATGACCTTCAAGGTCAAGGTCAAGGTCAAAGACCATTTACAAGCCAAACGGACGGTAACTTTACGCTGTAGAGCGTTCCCCGTCCTTTGACCTTGACCTTGACCTTGAAGGTCATGACCTAGTGACCTGGAAATCGCTGTCAACCTGGAATCGGGGTCGAGGAATCGATTGAGACCATTTCAAGCCAATCGGACGGTAACTTTAGGCTGTAGAGCGTTCCCCGTCCTTTGACCTTGACCTTGACCTTGAAGGTCATGACCTAGTGACCTGGAAATCGCTGTCAACCTGGAATCGGGGTCGAGGAATCGATTGAGACCATTTACAATCCAATCGGACGGTAACTTTAGGCTGTAGAGCGTTCCCCGTCCTTTGACCTTGACCTTGACCTTGAAGGTCATGACCTAGTGACCTAGAAATCGCTGTCAACCTGGAATCGGGTCGGGGAATCAATTGAGACCATTTACAAGCCAATCGGACGGTAACTTTAGGCTGTAGAGCGTTCCCCGTCCTTTGACCTTGACCTTGACCTTGAAGGTCATGACCTAGTGACCTGAAAATGGCTGTCAACCGGGAATCGGGGTCGAGGAATCGATTGAGACCATTTACAAGCCAATCGGACGGTAACTTTAGGCTGTAGAGCGTTCCCCGTCCTTTGACCTTGACCTTGACCTTGAAGGTCATGACCTAGTGACCTGGAAATCGCTGTCAACCTGAAATCGGGGTCGAGGAATCCATTGAGACCATTTACAAGCCAATCGGACGGTAACTTAAGGCTGTAGAGCGTTCCCCGTCCTTTGACCTTGACCTTGACCTTGAAGGTCATGACCTAGTGACCTAGAAATCGCTGTCAGCCTGGAATCGGGGTCGGGGAATCGATTGAGACCATTTACAAGCCAATCGGACGGTAACTTTAGGCTGTAGAGCGTTCCCCGTCCTT